AAATATAAAGATACTCAAAGGATCAAGTGTCAAAATGACCAATGCCACAGCCAGGTTCCTAGTTCAACATCAGTTCATGAGTTTATGGGAGTGACTTTGTGAAGCTTCATTTGCTGCTACTTCATTAACTGATGTGCAGAACTCCCATTTCTATCAGGTTGTGGAGCTCACACACAAGGCTACAACAGAATATTTGTTAAATGTCAATCACAGCAACATCTGCCAGCTCCTGAAGCTGAACTCTTGATACGCTAAATATATTACAGTTATCCCAGTGAAAATGTATGTTGAGGTGGATTTGATGACTCAAGTGCATTAGAATTGCAATTTCAATGAGATTTCAATTGTAATCAGTCCCTCAGAGTGTCTCTCACTGAGACTGAGCAGAACAGAAAATTGGAGAAATTATTTTTGCTGGAGAATTTTGATTGTTTGCTTTCCTTGTATAATTAATAATAGCAAACAAACTCGATTTGGGATTCTAACTCCTTTGTGTGCTAACACATTAATGAGCTTATTTCCATTTTAAGTAATTATGAAATCCAACAAGTCAAAAATTCATAAAAATAATTTTAACTTACTACTAAAAAGTGATCATCCAGGTTGAAGGAACAGAAGGTTGCCCTTTCTTGTCATACCTCATGCCTCTCAAAGCTAACTACCAACTCAAATAGGAAACAAAAGAATGCTCATGCTGCCTAAGTATGTGTTCCTAAATGGTCCACTTTTAACTTCATATGGAATTTACACAAGTGAAAGTATACACTATTATTTTTTATGTAGGCAATCAGTTCCAAAATACGATGTTTATGGAGGTCAGACATGCGTAGCTGTGGTCTGTTTTCATAACCAGTTAAGTGCCTGTAGGACCTGTGTTCCTCATGGTTTGGCTGAGCTGAAATAGTTCAGCCTCAGTGCTGAACCATAATAGACATAATTTCTCCATTCGGTGACTAGAACTTAGTTCCATGCTCAAATTTATGGCCAGTGGTCCCCTTGATGAATCTCTTATTTTATTGTTCTTGGGTAGTGGCCAGTCTCCTAACTGCTTGGCTTCATACTTGGAAAACTGTCCTGTTTGGGGCCATAAACTGTGCAAACAAATCACAGTTGCTAAATTGGCTGTCTGTGTGGCTCTTTTAGATAACCATGATAAGGGACCATTTTTCATTAAACTAGTAAGATAAGGCTAGATTGAGCTGCTCACTGAGTCTTCCAGCACCCAGTGTGTAGACAATGCTGCCTAGATTTGTAACTACATCAAACATGGCAGCATGTCCACTGTCACAGAATATGGACATTCAGGGATGTTTTTGCTTTTTGTTGTTGTTGTCCTTAAGGTGACCACATATTTAATTTCAAAACTAGAAATAGTTTAACAGTAAAATGTTATAATAAAACAACATTTAATAATATTTTGTTAACTAGATGGTGTTATATGTGCAGACTTGTGGACTAAGTTTATCTAAAGACTTTTTTGTTTGTTTGTTTGTTTTTCAAGACAGGGTTTCTCTGTGTAGCTTTGCGCCTTTCCTGGAACTCACTTTGGAGACCAAGCTGGCCTCGAACTCACAGAGATCCGCCTGCCTCTGCCTCCCGAGTGCTGGGATTAAAGGCGTGCGTCACCACCACCCGGCAGACTTTTAAAATGAATACATTTATAGAACACTAAAGTCAGAAAAAATAAATAGGCAAATAAATAAAAGTAAATTAAAATAAAAACCGTATCGTCTGAATGTTAAAACACAACATAAGGGAGCCTGAGAGATGGCTTAGTAGTTAAAAACATTACCTGTTCGTGCAGAAGGCCCAGATTTGGTTCCAAACACCCACAACTAGGCAGCTCTGACCACTTTTAACTCCAGTTTCATGGGATCCAATGCCCTCTTTGACCTTGGTGGGTAGCTGCACATACTCAGGTACACATACATACAAGTAAAATTAAAAATCAATAAAACACAATGTATAATAATTTGTTGATATGTATTCAGATACTCTAATGAGCATTTGGACTAGATGTTTTTAAAAATCTGTGCATTTTAAAATTGCTTGTCCAAATAATATAATAGTCTTTCATTTAAAGACTGTTCCAGAGTTCTCTATGTCACTTCATTTCATGATTCACATTTTTTCTTTTTTTTTAAATCTTTATTTATGTGCATTGGTGTTTTGCCTGCATGTATGTCTGTTTGAGGGTGTCAGGTACCCTGGAACTGGAGTTAGAGACAGCTGTGAACCGCTATGTGCTGGGAATTGAACCCAGATCCTCTAGAAGAACAGCCAATGCTCTTAACTGCTGAGCCACCCCTCCAGCTCCTTCATGATTAATTTGGCAAATTAAAGTTATTTTTCTTTACAGACATGACTTTTTTTTCTTGGTTTTAATTGTTTACAGTTCCCATGCCTTTATGTAATAGCCTTCAATCATCTCCAATCCCCGTTTTCCTCCTTCCCCTTTCCACTCCTCTCTCAATGGTAGCCTTCTTATAGACAAGGCCTTTTCTGTTCTCATGTTTTCTTTTTGGGTGTGGCTTGATGTGTTTAAGTCTAGTTATTTAGCCAAGCATGCATGGGGAGTTATCCAGTGGAGTTACACCAAGGCTATACCACTAAAGAAACTGAAATTCCCTCTAGCAACGAGAATTAACTGCCTATAGCCCCTCTGGTAGGAGTGCCCCCCCCCAATCTGTGATATAATATCGATGGGCCCAACCTTGTGCAAGTTCTGTGCAGATAACAAAAGTCACAGTGTGTTCATGAGTGTAATGGCCTTGCTATGTCCAGAAGGGGGAGATGTACAACACAGGAATTTTTTATTTTTGATGCTTCAGACATATGAAATTGAGGTTTTTGGTTTTTTTTGTTTTTTTTTAATTTCAATGCCAAGAGTAAAGCTGCATGTCAGGTGCATGACCCTTCTCACAGTTGGCAGACTGACTACATCAGACCTTTGATGCACTGGTGTGGGCTGTTGATAGTCCTTTGCCACAATGAACAGTTTTCTTCCTATGATTTTATGTTTCCAATCTACCCTTACTGCTATAATAGAATACCGTTTTCCAGGTAAGTCATTAAAACGAACAAAAAATGTATTTTTTATAGTTCTGCAAAGTCCAAGGTCAAGAGACTGTTAAATGGGTGCTCATCCCTGGTGTTTTCCCAACAGACTCTGTTCTTCACAGGACAGACAGGGGAGCAGAAAAGACAAAAGAGTTCATTCCCCAAACTTCTTAATCAAGAATTAAGTCAACCCATCAGGATAGAGCCCCACTGATCTAAATATCTCTTGAAAGCCTCATCTCCCAATGCCATTTTCTTGGTAACTAAATTTCAAAATTAGTTTTGGCAGAGACACTGAGACTATAGCCCAATCCAGTCCTCTTGAAACTAATGTGTCATATATTAATCTTCCTGCCCTGTTTTTGTTTAACAGGGCTATACATTTTAGTCACAAAAGCTACTTGACAGTCAGTAAACAGTAAAGATATTTGATAGACGATGCATGTTTGCTACTCTAAAGAAAACTTACATCATTGAACTGTGGAACAACTTACTTAAAACTAATTAAGAAATGACTTAACCTCCCTTTCCCTCTGTATGATATGAGTTAGGCAGCTTGGTCACTGAATGGGCTGTATCCAGAAAAGCACCCTTTCCTCTGTTTACTAGATAACAATCACAGTGGAGGGATGAAGTGTTTCATGTGCATAATTTGAAAGTTGAAGATTCTACCTTGACTATTTTGTGTTCATGAAATAGCTTTCTTTTCCTGAATAGCAATCAGGGCCAGCCTTGTCAATACACAGTCCTCATGGAAGTCCCGCTAAAAGGAGGCCTTAAGGATTCACACTTTAGTCAATTTAGTTTTCTAATGATTAATGAACTAACTTTTGGACCAAAAGGGTTCTAAATCAAGATGGTGATGATGATGGTGATGACGATGATGAGGATGATGATGGCAGCATTCTGGTTGTGGAGAATGCTTGCCAAATCTCATCATAATGGCCATTTGGCCCAAACGTAGAGCTATAAGGCCAGATGGGAGAGCTCTCCAAAGGATCTTCCAATTGGAATTTGACCAAGCCAAGTCAGGAGGCAGTTTCCATGACAAAGTGAAGCCAAAACGTAACTGGAAGAAAAATTGGGGCTGGAGAATTATTTAATCACCAAATGAAGAAGACAAGGATAAGATATAAATATCAAGTGAGTACTGATGACATCATCCAGATGAAGGCTTCTCTAGACTTTTTGTCCATGTTACTGACCATACATTAAAGAAAGGGGCAAACAAATTGCAAGATTGGGAGAAAATTGATTGTTTGAATATCTGGTTATTTCATTTGTTCTAGGTTTGGATTCAGCAGCTGATGTTGAGTTTAGCATCATAAGGATGGAGATCTGATTTGTCTGCTCACTGATTTGTCCACCTTACCCAGGAATGTTTGACTCTGAGGAAATTCTCAAGGCAGAGTGGTGGGTAGTTCTGGTTGGGTAAGTAGCAGTAAGTTAGTTTTATTTATAAATAAACACCATCAGACTTGCTTATTACTTTTAAAAGCAATAAAATCAGGTGTGTTGCTTTTAAATGATATCAAACAAAATATTGGACAAATTTTCCAAGATCCTCACAAATCCACGAGATAACCATTATCCCTTTTTGTAGGTGAGAAATCAGGCTCAGAGATATTAAAACATTTGTCCAAGTCTGCTTAGCTTATAAGTGGAGTAAATGGAAACTTTTATTTGCTCTTTTTAAAAATTGAGGTTTTCTTTTATTTGTTGGTGCACTTATGAATTTATTGTGTGTACATGGCCATATGTATGCACATACATGTGAGGGAGTGAGTATGTGTGTGTGTATGTGTGTGTGTGTGTGTGTGTGTGTGTGTGACTATGGAGACCAAGGTAAATGTCAAGTGTCTTCCTTGATTGCATTCCACTTTATTTTTTGACACGGGTATCTGGATGACCTAGGAGGTCACAAACACAGCGGGATAGACTGGCAGCCCCAGGGATCCTCCTGATCCGTCTTCCAGATTCAAACGTAGGTCCTCATACTTGTATGTCAAGCCTTTTACTGACTGAACCATCTACCCCACTAGTCCTGGGGTATTTCTTTCTTTCTTTTTTTTTTAAGTTTTATCTGTTTATTTAAAAACAGAATATCATTTTATGTACAAATATACATATATTTACATGAAATATACACACTAGGACCCCAGATCCTCGGGGTCCACAAGTACTGGGTTGCTTGGGAATAGGATGAGAGCCTCTCCTTTAGACCAGATGTCAGGCGGCACAGGGTTTGGATACTAAATCTCAGTATTCTGGCTGAGTAGGTTTGAGCAGGCTAAAGAAAAACATCTAACCCCAGGCCCCACACATAGAAAGTGCCAGAAGAGCCCCAAATTAATGAATCAGGAGACCCTGGGGAAGGAGCTACTGACACCCTTCACCCACAGCAGCTCTTTCTCCTCACCAGGACTTCCACCTTCCCTCGCTACCCTCTGCCCTCTACACAACTGAACCCGGGGCCCTCGACACCACATCCCAACTCCGTGAAGGCACACATAACTGCAGACACAACCAGGGGAAGGTTTGAGGGGCCAAGGGAGCCAAGCACCTCATCTCTATTTTCCTTTCCCAGTGTTTATATCTCACATCACTGGTTCCAGACTCCGGCAGCTGCCCACTTCCTCTCCAGAGCCTCTTTGGGTGAAAGTGCCCTAGGAGGAGAACTTTCCAGAACCATAGGAATTAGCCCCTGCTGTGGGGTTTGCTCAACAGTCTTGTTGAATGCCTATGTGGGTTGTCCTTGCTTAAACAAGCCCAGTAAAAAAGCATGCTCCTAATTCAAAAAGGGTTTTGTTGGTTTGTTTTTAAGTTTCTTTTTCTCTTACTGAGGGAGTCTGAACCGAACTCCAGAGGTTCCCTCGGAGGTTGGTTTACAGAAGGTATGTACATGCAGCAGGCACACAGGCCACCAGAGGGCAGAGGGCTTCTGCAACAGTTCAAGCCTCTGACAGACCCCTGGACGTCTGCTTCACACTTGCTCCCAGAGTGTGGGAACACAGCTCCCCCACTCTGGAGGTCAGATTCGAGTTCCAGCTATGCCTGCACACCTGGATCTGGCCCATAGTCTCCACCTCTCACTTCCAACCTCTGCATCACTAATACTGCTCTGGGGTCGGAGGAAAATACCTGCATCTGCAGGCAGAGGTCACACATGAGACACAACTGCTCGCAAGCCACACCCTGGCCATGCTCTGCACACAGCCACGAATCCAGAGTCACACATACCATTCACTTGGACTCTCAACATGACATCACGATGCACACCAGGCACCATGGACAGTCACCCCTCTGTGCAAATACAATGGAGTGCCATGAATGCTTACACACACACACACACACACACACACACACACGCGCGCGCGCGCGCGCACACACACACACACACACACACACACACACACACACACACAAATGACCTACACACAATGATGGGAGGCACTCAACCAATGGAGCCCTCCTGATGAACAGAAGGAGTGGAGGTCAAAGTGGAGCAGTCAGTGGTCTGGGAAGTATCTTCCTAAAGAAATGCAGGCGTTTGAGGAGGGTTCTCTTTAGAAGAGTTGAAATCCCCCATGGAAACAGAAGAAACCAGGCCTGGGGAGGGAGGCCGACCTGGGTCAGACCAGGTGCCCTCGCCCGTTGATGTAGATGCCGTTGCCTGTGGGTTTGGCCCTCAGTGTCCCATTCTCCTGAACAAAATGGTTCATGGCCTGTTTGATGCCTTCATCCTGATCCTCCTCGTCGTCTGTCCTCCCAGAGCCTGGAGACAGCAGTTCCGTCTGTGTTTCTATCTCCCTCACTGTGGTCAACGTGGAGTAGCTATGGCCCTCTGGCTCTTCACTCATCACAGAGCAGCTACTGTTGTCCTTGAGACTATCAGGGTGGCCCTCGGCTCTCAGCCCTACACTCTCCTCCGGCTGGCTCCTAGGGTCCGTATGGTGAGAATGCAGCCTCCGGATGGAGTTCTCCCTGGTCAAAGTCAGCTCCTCCTCATATTTCTGGGTCATCTGCTGCGCTTTTCGCCGGTGATACCGGGACATGAGGACCACCACCACCACCAGGAGGCAGAACAAGAGCGCAGCGATCACACCCACCACCACCACTGAGGCCGACACGAGGTCCACTTGCTTCCCTGGATCTTGAGGGTCAAGAACTTCCACGGTGACCTGAGAATCCCTCGAAGAAATTTCATTGCTGACATGGCAGACGTAGATGCCACTGTGCTCAGGAGTCAGTCGGGGAAAGCCCAGAGTGTCCCCTTTTGCTCGCACCCCACTCGGCAGAGGTCCATCCAGCCACATCCAGTTGTACGAGGGAGGGGGCTGTCCTTCACTCAGGCACTTGAGTGTAGCTCCTTCTCGGCCAACATGCCACAAGTTCTGGTCCTCTAGGCCTCTCACAGAGGCCTCTGCAAGGACTGGAGTGGGAGGAGGCAGGAGGAAGAATCCTGGGGTATTTCTAATTGTAGCCAGGTAGGTATTTATCAAAGTATGTGCTTTGGCTTTAAGATAACCCTACAGATTCCATTTTCTTCATTTACCTTTCGCTTCGGTTAATTCATTGGTTGGATTATGATTGCAATGTTTAACGAAATACATGTTGCTGCCACCAATCTTATTTTCATCAACATTATCACACCACCAGGTAAGGCTTTGCAGAGCCATAACTTTGCAGAGCCATGACTTAATTTCTTCAATCAAGATGTATGATGTCAACAGTAGAATAGCATCTTGAAAGCCCCAGTATCGTCTGTATTCCCAGTATGTCCGAACTATTGCTTGCCTTTGTCTCAGAGCCTAGGAAAACTAAAATAAATGGAAAATATTCATGATGATAACATTTCCTTGAAGCTATAGGTAGGTAGCCTTCATTATCACCAAGTAAACAGTGTGTGGTGGTTTGAATGGGGATAGCCCCAAAGTCTTTTATATTTGCATGTCTGGTCGCCGGTTGGTGAACTGTTTGAGAAGAATTAGGAGGTGTGGCCTTATTGGAGAAGAAATGGACTTGTTGGAGGAGGTGTGTCACTATGGGTGGGCTCTGAGGTTTCCATAGTCCACATCAGGCTCAATTTCTACTTCCCTCTTTTTCTCTCTCCCTCTCTCTAGCCCCCCCCCTCTTTGCCTGCTGCCTATGGAACAGGATATAAAGCTCTCAGCTACTGCTCCAGTGCTACACCTGTCTGCTTCCCACCTGATAATAATGAACTAAATTCTCTGCAACTATAAGCAAGCTCCCCATTGAATAAATGTATTCTTTTGTAAGAGTTGCCATGGTTATAGTGTATCTTTACAGCAATAAAATGGTGACTAAGACATAGTGTATCATTTATTTTATATATAACATTGCTTATGAGTTCTATAAGAAATAGATACACATTCCAATACTACACGTAGGTAACTGTAGGACTTGAACTTTAGTTTTGACCTCCCCGGGTAAGATGTCTAATTTTACAAAATAACCGGATACTCACTGTCCTTTCCACCTTATTAAACTTCATAAATGATGAGGCCAGCTCATTCTCCATGCCGTAATCATGTGGAAGAACTAACTTTTGCTTCTTTTTACCTAGCTGCAATGGGTTAAAGGAGAGAAAAATTAATCAGATGTTTTGTACACCCCCACATGGCTGACATCATCCTTATACCAGGTTTACTTTACTTACTAGCCATATATTAGCTGTTAATAGTTATATTTACAGTTATTCCTAAAGGTTTATTTTTATTTGAGTGTGTGCATGTGTGTGTCTGTGTGTGTTTGTGTGTGTCTCTGTGTGAGTGTATGTACGTGTTTGGGTGCCACAGAGGCCAGAAGACATTGTCTGATACCCTGGAGTTGGGCTTACAGGCAGTCATTAGTCACCTAGTGTGCATGCTGGGAACTGAACTTCAGTCTGTCTGCTGCAAAAGCAAGTTCACCTAACTACTGTGCTATCTCTTTAGCTGTGTTAATATTTATAATGTACCTGTGTTCTTCTCTCTGTTTTCAGATCAGGGATTAGCAGAGACCAGTTAGAGGTTGAAGGTGATGAGTCATTGGAAGGTGACCAGTGGAGGGTGACCAGTGGAGGGTGACAACTGGAACGTGACCACTGAGCTCCCATTGACTTGGTTTTGCTCTTTTTCTGTAATACTGTAATAACGAATGAGAATGTAAAGAATACAAAGCTGACATTAAGTCACTGTGGAAAGGTGACATACATGAGTACTGTTCTTATTAAGATCTGTAACTCTAATGAGAATGTGTTCAAGCTATGGTTTTTCTCCCTGAAATTCATAATTGATACTAAAAATAAACTTAAAAGCACTCCAGGCAATATTTCTGTTGCCAAGGAAACTCCAACAGAATGCTAACCAGACTCATCCAAATATCCCAACTTTAATAGCGATTGATCACATTCTTTTTAACTGTTTATTTTATTTCAGGAGAAATAATAATTATAAATTTAATGTAACAATCTAAGAATTCTGTCAAATTTCCAGGCTGAACATACCTGTAGGATGTTGTACCCTTTTCACATCTCATGTAGTCCCATTCTTTGATCTTCAACACATGGTGCATGGAAAAGTTCCCTTATCTTTAACCTCTCAAATATGTGATTAGCTAAAGTGTGACAGTTAGAACAGATTCTTAATCACAGGAGGCATAAGTGGAGCCCATTGGATTCAGCCCACTAAAGTATACAAGTGTGGTGATATATTGTATCCCCTAAAATATTGTGCACCCTAATAAAGCTTATCTGAAGATCAGAGGAAAAAGCCAGCCACTAGATTAAACATAGAAGTTAGGCAATGCTATCATACACCTTTAATCCTAGCATTCAGGAGGCAGAGATCCATCTGGATTTCTGTGAGTTCAAGGCCACACTTGGGAAAAGAGCCAGGCATAGTGACACACACCTTTAATCCTAGCACTAACCACAGAGGTCTGGAGGTCTGTACAGACAGGAAGTGATGTCACTGGGTGGAGAGAGGAAGTGAGATTGCAGAACAGAAAGGCATATAGGCATGGGTATACAGGAAGTAGGTCTCTCTGGAGGCTGAGGAGTCGGTAAGGTGAGGTTGGCTGTGGCCTTTCCTGTTCCTCTGATCTCTCAGGTTTTAACCCCAATATCTGGCTCTGGGTTTTATATTAATAAGACCGTTTAGCAATTCGTATTACACACAAGTATTTTGCCAAAGGCTACTTATAGTGCACACATGGCACACATGCATGCTGTGAGCACAAGGTGTGGTAAGCAGAGGACCGTGGGTAAACTAGACAATGGGAGTGTTTCAGCGCTGACTTTGGAACACAGAAGCACAGCTGTGGAAATGGAATCTTAGTGCCCCCGCTTCCAGATTTAGAGCTTGCAAATTACTTGCCTTTTTCTTTAAGCTGCTTCTTACTGTCATCATAACATCTCCATAAAGACTCCAGAAACTATATCAGGACATTTTCTTTACAAGTTGGAAAACCCTGAATTCAAAACTATTATGGTTTAATTAACAACAAGTAGGACTTTAATATTTTATGTTACTATTAAATTCATGTCAGTATTGGATAGATCTGTTTCAGGTAAGCCTATACCCAGATTCTCCAATGAAGATAATCTGATGCTTCCCGTCTAAGTATGGACTGAGTTCCTCATTTTATTGGCAGGACCCACACACAAACCATTCTTTACTTTTGAAGAGCTCCTAGCAACTTTGCTTCTCCTGCAGAGTGAAAGGAAACATTTAACTCATCAGAAATAGTCTCAAAAACATCCCTTATTGGCCTTATTTGGTCAATTGTTCTTCTGTTGAGCAAGAAAATTAAGTGAATGGATCCAATTTGGGTGAAATATTATCCTTTAGAGATACTCTGGGCTTGTAAATCAAACAAGAAATTGAAACATAAAACCAATTCCATTGTAATATATAAAAATATTTAGAAAAGTACTTAGCATAGGGTATTTACTAAATGTATTCATAATAAAAATATCCTCTATTTTAAACTTTTAAATATGCATGGCTTTGGCTTTCAGTCATGTTTTCTAGAAACTGCACAGAGAAGATGAGAGCACGTTGGACAGAAAGTAAATTCTAGTTAGATCTAATTGAATTTTTGAGTTAATGTAACTGGACGTTTAGATAGAATCTATTCTGTGTTTCAGAGAAAGCCAATGACTTTGCCCTGGGGGCCTGGATGCAACCTGAATTAATAATCATCTTGTGATAAAATATTTGTGTGGATTATCATAACAATAACAGATTATTGTTTTGCTCCATCATGCTGGCAATTGATCTAGAAACTCAACACATTTATTCCTAAGTTCTACAGTCAAACAAAATAGAATAGTTCTCACCCAAACTCTCCCCACCTAAAACTTTAAAAATTATTGTGCAAATTTTAATCCTAATTATATCTTTCACCAATAATTAATGGAAAGGAAGATGTGGAGGGTCTCTGAAGAGTTGGGGGAGGAGAACCTGTAACCAGAATATATTCATAAGGAAGAATTAAGTAAATTCAAAAAAGAATAAGTAATAAAAACCTAACATGTTGACATCCATAACTCTTCTTTGCATATGTTTATCATTTATGACAGAGACATTGCATCATAATGTCTGTGACTTTATAAAGAATTGTGACCATATGCCTTGGTTTGCTCCTATAAAGTGTCTTTTCTATGAGAGCAGCTTTGGGGTAAGGATAAACTGAATTTACTAAATGGAGATAAGGCAAAATTCATTTATTATTTCCTTTAAGGAGTTCATTTATAGACATTTCTGTATTTATTTCAAACTCTCCTCCATTCTAAATATCTAAGTCTTCATTATATTTTTTTCATTAAGTTTCACAAAGCTAAAAGATAAAGTTTGCATTCCAATGGCGTTTTAAGTCTTAACAGTGATGTACAATATCCCCAGTAAGAAATTGTGTGGTTCCTTTCCTTTTCAGTTTCAGCCATGATGAGCCTTTATAGTTATGGGTAAACAACAGAGTTTACACTCACTGTATATGAGTTATCCTCAGCTCCCCTGTTCTAGAACTGAAAAGATTCCTGAAATTAGAGGAGCTGGGCACTAGCAGCTCTTCATTGTTTGAAATATGTTCGTGTTATTTTTCTTTATTTCAGATGTCCATATTATAAATTCATTAAGAGCCTGTATATTTCTACCATAGAACAAAAGAATCATAGTTTACTTAAAAACTAGTGAATGCATACAGAGAAGCTCATTACCATCTTAAGCAAAATAAGCCTGATTCAGAAGGATAAATACTACATGTTTTTTCTCCCTTATAGAATCTGTGTCTTATTTATAATGAGGTGGAAGGAAGAAGAAAGAGAAGGGCATGGAGACATAAATATAGTGAAATATAAAATATACTGAAAAGCTCCAATTACATATGTCAAATTATTTATTTTCTAATTTTTGAGAATTTCACACAAGAGTAACTGTCTTTACATCATTTCTGCCTCATCCTTTCCCCTTCAACACCTCCTGTGCCTCCACTTACTCTAAAATTCATGATTTCTGTAATTGTTGTTGTTACATATGTGTATGTGTGCATGTACTGGTATAAATATAATCTTCTGGGTCCCTTTAGTGTTACTCTTCCTATGTGTATGTGTTTAGAGCTGATCATTTAGGATTGAATAATATCAAGGGAGTCATCCCTGGAGAAGACTGATTCCCCCTCTCTAGAAGCCATTAATACCTGTATGTCTTCATCTGAGGGGTGGGGACTTAAGAGATTTCACCATCCACAGAGGAATGTCAACTGGTGTTATTACACAGGTCTTGTTTAGGTGGTCACATTATTAACATTTCATGAGTGCTGCTCCCGGTCATGTATAGAAGACACTTACAGCAGGCATCCTGGTCCTCTGGCTCTTAGAGTCTTTCTGGCCCCTCTCCCTCCCCTTTGATGTTCCCTGAGCCTCAGGTGGAGGGATTGTGTTGTAGATGAACCCTTTAAAGTTGGGCATCCCATCATCACTGATTCTCTACATTTTGACCAATTTAGGATTTATGCGATGATTTCTGTCTGCAGGAAAAAAAAAGAAAGGAAGGAAGGAAGGAAGGAAGGAAGGAAGGAAGGAAGGAAGAAAGAAAGAGAGGAAGAGAGAAAGAGAGAAAGAGAGAAAGAAAAAGGTCTTTTGATGAAAGATGAAAGCTGCACTCATCTGTGGCTAAAAGGATGAGTATTTGGAATTCAGTAAATAATTATACTGATTTGGGAAGGTGGCAGCAGTAAATTCTCCTCGAGGATCCGTGACCTCACCAGCCACAGCAAGGTGGCTAGGATAACAGACAATATGAGGCATGAATTCTCTCTTGTTGAGTAGGCCTTCATTCCAATTAGACTGCTTCTCCTCACTCCTAAGACGTAAGTGCCGCTATTGTACCCTTGTGAGTATCTTGTCAATGCTGGTCAGTGTTGTGGTTCATAGGCTTTGCAGCTGGGTAGGATTACTGACTGCTTTTCTCCACTGGAAGCTTGCATAGCACCTTTGAATGCTATAGGAGCTAGTCCTTGGGAAGGAGGCTTCCAGGTTACTTCCAATTCAAATCTTTCAAGTTCTCTGTCCAAAGTGCATGATGTCTTCAACAATTGGCTCTTACCTTTAAAGTCCTTGGAGGCAACCAAAGGCGACGGAAATATTCTATATTGTTTTAGGGATCTCTTGGACTGCTTTGAGGTTTCCCATGCCTGATACTAGAATTTTTGTTAGTCTGTGACCCTTGTGGGGGGCAACATGTATTATAACCACAATTGATTAATTTCACGTAAGATATATATATATATATATATATATATATGTATGTATGTATATATTATATATATGAATATTTTGTAGTAAACAAAGTAATATGATTCCCTATGGCTTTTTCAAACATCCTTATTGTACTTTATCCATTCTCCTTCCCTCTCCCTCTGTATTTCCATCCCTTTTCCCCTCAGATAGAGCCCCCCCCCCAATTTTTTCTATTTTCCACTCAATAGTGCCTGTACCCTACCATCCCCTTCTCTAGACTTAACTGCATGGGAGAAGGCGAGGTGGAAATGATATAAGACAGTACTCATGTATTAAATTCTCAAAAAAATATATTAAAAGAAGAAAAAGCAAAAATTGTATTTGAACCAGAAAAAAAAAACAAAAAAGAAAATTCTAAAGCCAAGAAAATGGATGCACAAATACAGATCATTGAAGATGGTGTTTTGGGGAGTCTTTTATGTGGAAATGAGCATCTAATTTGTATTTCTGAGTTAATTTTATCATGCTATTTTATTAGGCCTTCAAATTAAGAAACTAGCAGGTGACAGATTTTATTATGGGTGAATGTTACCTCCATAAAACAAAAAAAGTGAGAATAAAGGCATTTATGAAAAAACTAAATTTGACCT